TATTTGTTTTTCCGGAATTTTCAGAAAAGTCCACTTTCATCTCTGAATGATGAATACTTGTAAGGGGAATTGGCATGTGACAACATGTGACCACTTAATACTTGGCACAGTTTGAAAACTCGGACGTCAGGACCAGTTTAAACCGCAGATGCCCTGCATTTACATTTTTACATCGGGCATCTTCCACTGATAAGACTACCACATCCTTGTGTTGGTACTTTCACTTCTGCTTATTTCAGTGCTTCCCAATTATTTTCTGTTACGCCCCGCCTAGGAAGAAGAAAACATTTCCCGTACCCCCAACTCTCCGCCATGACTAGTGATAACAACGAAACCTGTACTGAATCAAAGAGTAGTGTAATTTGTCAAAGAAATTTAAGTACACCTTTGCATAACATTGTGTCTTTAATAACAATAAAGGCAACAAAAGATAGATTAACTGATAAAGAACACCTTTAATTTTTTTTTTTGTAGTCTGTCACAAAAGATTTGAAGTGATTCAATTTGCCTGAAATGAATGCCACTGCCACCTACTGTTGTGGAACTGCGGCTACATTTTAATCTAGTAGACTTTCGTTTGGCAACTTCCGTCTCCCTTTACTAGTGCTAATTTATTTGGATTAGTGTGCATGCAGTTAATTACCCTGTCTTCATTATCTTCCACCTCAGTGACCAGAACTACGTGATCAGCTTTGTGGTTCCTAACCAGAAGCGGCTGACGGAACTGGCCAAGCAGAGAGGACTGGTCACAGATTGGGAGGAAATCTGCATACATGCCGACATGGAGGAGGTGGTCTTGAGGGAGATCAAGGAGGTTGCTGCTAAAAGTAGGAGCTCATTGTCAGAAGAAATCTGTCCTCACCTCTTTTACCTTTTTTTGTGTTTTATTTTTCACGCCATATAATTGAAATTGTTTCCCTCCCATCCTTGTAGTTAAACTGCAGCGCTTTGAAATTCCCGCGAAGGTCCATCTGAGCCCGGAGCCGTGGACGCCTGAGATGGGTCTTGTCACTGACGCGTTCAAGTTGAAGCGGAAAGAGCTTAAGAACCACTATCGCCACCACATCGAGAGGATGTATGGGGGCAAATAACAGTCACATTTTCTCCCGAGAGGCTTTATTTCAGCTTGACCACTTTTTTGCCTGTAGTTTTCCTGTGAAGTGTATGGGTTTCTTTGCTGTCTGTGTTTCAGAGGCACACAAATGAAAATGGGCTGAACAGGGAAGTTAGTTTTTGATCCCCCTGTGCCACTGGCATGTTAAAAGGAGGATGGTTACAGATGACCAGGGAAGTAACTTTGTCACCCTTACAAAATATCACCCCTCCATGTGTTGATAATGCTGTGCTATGTTAAGGTCAATGAACTATTAATGAAAGCGATGCTCTTTTGTATTAGGAGTACTGATGTTACTGTGCCTTCAGTCTGTAGCGGAATTGTGTGGCGTCTTGGTAACAAGCAGTCGAGTGTTTCTATGGCCATGCTAGAAGTTTACATGAAGCATTAGGTCACTTAACACTCCTATCCAGAGAGATGCTTGATGACCTGGACTTAACTTATTCTGGCAATTTTTTTTCATGCTATTTATGTCAATTGATGCTGAAAAAAGACCAAATGTCTAACCATAAATGACTCAGGAACACCAGGAGCAGATGTTTTATTTTTGGACACTGCCAAAAATGGTTTGCTTGCACTTACAGCACATGCTGAGCAGCTTATTTTGTTCAAGATAGATGGTTAAAAAAAACATGCCTGGTGGCAGCAGCCACATTTTTAGCCTTTATAAAGGGGAAACTTACCATGTCATTATGAGTGTTTTGTATGTATTTTCATGAACATGTTTGTATACTGTACACAAACCACTCCATTCTGATCATGGGCCTTATTGTTCAAGCTTTTCCTGAAAATAAAACCTTTCATATGAAACATTGAACTGTGTCTAAAAAAAAAATAAATAAAAGCTGAGGACACTCAGCTGTTCCAATCTTGAAAACGAAAACAATCACTAGCAATCTTCCACACTGGCTGGTCGTTGTTCGGTGACGCCTGAGCCGTTAAAAGAAAGTTCTGGTTGTAGAAACGCTGCTTGTTCCCTTCAAACTTGACTGTTCCGCCGGTCACCACAAGTAGAGTCATCTGACCTTGGGTTGCTTGATCTGTGAGGCAAGGGAGACAAAGGTGAGATCTTGATCAAGATCTTGAAATTTAAATCTGTATTACAAAGAGCATCCTGAGTCTGGCCGGAGAACCATGTTTGTTTTTTTTTTAATCATCTGATGCAGCCTGCAATGCTCGTGGGGGAAGGGAAAATTGAGGCATCAGCATAAAATGTGCAAGTTCCTGTGGATGGATCCTTAAACTGTCTTAAAATGCATTGAATCTTCGAACAAGGCCTTAAATGTCTAATCGATCCATTTCACAAGTCTTCAAAAATGTTAAAATAATTTACCGAACGTGACTTGTGTGTAACATCTCTGAATCAATACAACTGACATGGTTTTTGTCGTTACTTGTATAATTATATATACACACACATGTATATGTATATGTATACAGTACATACAAAGTCTGTGCACAATCATCTTAACGGTCATCCAAAGCCAGAAACCCTTTTGGTCACATCTGGTCCCCATCATATTAGCATTTGGCCTCTCGGGGTGCCACTAACCATGAACCGGTTGACATCTGGTCCCCATCATATTAGCATTTGGCCTCTCGGGGCGCCACTAACCGTGAACCGGTTGACAATCCAGTGTCTGGACTTGGAACTCGCTGGAAGGCAGGGCCTCAAAGAACTCTCCCAGCGCATCTAGTCCGGACACAGTGTTTCCATTCCACACCAAGGTTGCCTTATCCAAGTAGAGTCTGGTGAGGTTCTGAGACACAAAAGTAGCGAGACATCAGAAAACAGTCCAGTTTGATATTCCGTGATGATAGAATGAGAGCACCCAGTGGCGTAAAGATCATCCAATGCCAAATAAGAGTAAAATGGTTTTTGTACAACTTGCTGTTCTCAAACGAGATCAATGGCAAAATTCACAAGTATTTGATCCATGAATGGACCATTAGATTTCCCGTTTCAACGCACTTAGACACAAAAAAACACTAGGATGTTCTCGGAGGTTAAGTGGCCACAGAGTTGATAGTTCCTCAGAGGTTATCAGCAGGTTGCAACGATGATATATGGAGACTGAAAGAGTCACAGAAAGACAAATAAGTGGAAGACTTTCTTTCCTTGGTCGCTTCATGGTTTAACCAACTTTGGAGTATTTTATGGTTCAGCTCCTTGTTGGAAAACATTACGTTGCGCAAAGCATATTGAAACACTGAACTTATGAGACGGACAAGTGCATTTGAAAGTTAAGAGGTCAATTTTAGAAAGGGGGAAGTTTAGAGGGGGGTTGAGTAGAGATGTGCATGTGAATTTTCGTGATGATATATGGCACTTTTCTGACATTAAGCGACGTTAAGCTTTTTTCCACCCACATTTAGCGTTGTACACGTCTCAAGATGAAGACAAGACATTCCAATTTAACGGCTACTCACTCTTCTTTTCTTATCCATGCAGTCGTAGTAGATGTTGACGAACTCCTCCGAATATCTGCACGACTGGTCCGCATGGGTCCTGAAATCCTGCGGGAATGCAAAACGGTTTACAGACAAATTGGTATTGCTGTTTCTACCCACGTGCACGTCAAAAACAACGAGCAAGAGGCTAACTACATTGTGCTGTCTGTCGACTAAAAAATGTTTCAATTATACCTTACCAACGTCGCTGCCATTAGTAATGTCTGCAATGATTCGGGACGACGCTAGAGAGTTCGTTAGATAAATTTAATCCAGTATTGCTGATTGTATTATTTCAATTAGCTTGTCTTCAATGTCGACTACGCTGTGCCATCGATCCTTGTTTTACTTCCTGCAAAAGTAGCTTGACCTGCCAAAATAAATTCAATGTGAGTTACATGCAATATGGTTGTCCACTATGATTGGTACATAATTTTTCATCTATTTGTTTATTACTTATATTCATATTTATTTGTATATCCATTAAAAATATACAGCATTTCAGTGGCACAGATTGTCGAGGTCTCGCGTTGTGTTTTATTGTGACTGGATCGCTGGTTTTATGCGGAAGTAGAAGTCATAATTTCCTGAGTCATTCCCCCGTGTTTCAAATCCACAAAAGTGTGCACTTGTATGCATTCTGTTTTTCAGAATACATTTTGGTGCTTGTTTAAGTATATTTAAGAATGGAGGGGTCTGTATCAAACGTTGACGTGTGTAATTTGGCATATTTGGGTCAGTTTGACAAACTAAAAGAGTGCATTTTATCAGATAAAACCCTTGCCTGCAAAACGGACCAGGTAAGAATGCACGACCCAGCAACTTGTTTTGTTTACGCGATGAAAGCACAGCTAAACCATTCATTTTGCACATTTCTCTGATTTCAGGATCACAGAACTGCCCTTCACTGGGCTTGTTCGGCTGGCCATACCAACATTGTTTCTTTTCTACTTGACCTGGGAGTTGAAGTGAACCTGCAAGATGATGTATGGATTAAAACACAGAGCAGTACATTTAGAACGAAGAACCACTCTTCCAGCCTTTCAACTGTTTTGCCACTAAAATAATGACAATCGATGGCAGCACACGTTCTGGTCAAACACAATCTCGAGTTTCACCAACAAACACGCTTACAATACAAAGAATAACAATATTGAGTGGCAGAGGTTATTTCGAGCACCGATCATTTTAGGCTGAATGCATATTAGGTAAACTTCAGTATATGCAGGGTGTCCCATAAGTCTCCATACATAGGAAAATAAACATTTCTTGACATGAACCATACGACTGCTTCCCGAACCACCCATCAGGATGATTTCAATTTATTGCTCTTTATTCAAATGCATTCTCTGGGTTATCTGAAATATAAAGAAATAAATGTTAGAACCATGTATATATGGAATGTATTTTTTCTCATATGTATGGAGACTTATGGGACACCCTGTAGTTCCTCTTTTTACTTACAAAGTAACAACAATGTTGTAAGTATATATAAATATATTGATTATTGGCTGGAGACCACTCGAGTTTGTACTCCACCATTCCCACAGCTGTGCCCCTAATGAGGACACGTGGTATAAAAAAAGTGGATGGATATACAGTATAGTATACTTAAGAAAGTGATCCAAAAGCATCACTGCGGTTATATGCAGATATGTTTGTTTCACATTGAATAACTGCTCTGTATTCTATGCATATAAATGCATTTTAATTTTAAGAATTTATTTTGGATTGATATGCTCGAAAACAAACAGTAATTCAACTCAACTCAACTGTATTTATAGAGCACTTTCAAACAGCCATCGCTGCATACAAAGTGCTGTACATGGAGCAAATTAACATATACAACAAACAGTAAAGCAAATCGGTAATAAAAACAGTAGAAAGCACCGAACAGCAAAACCAAGTAATCTTGCGGTGTGCTGATTGCCGTCACCACTGTGGGGTGCAAATCTGAAATTATTTTAATTTCAGGGATTGAGCTTCATTTAATGTGCAACAGAGGTACTTAAATAGGGGGGAAAAGGGGTATGGCAAGGGAAATTATTGCTTGTTGAATCAGGGAACTCAAAATGAGAGCCCTTATTAATGTAACGTGTTATTTCCAGGCTGCATGGACCCCTCTTCACATTGCATCGTCTGCAGGTAGAGAAGACATTGTCAGAGCACTAATATCTAAAGGGGCTCAGCTCAACTCTGTAAATCAAAATGGATGCACGCCTCTACATTATGCTGCCTCCAAAGACAAATATGAGGTAACTTTCTAATTGAAATGACTATTCTCCATCGCTATATTTTTTTGTTTGGTGTAGCCAAGACCCAGCCTAGTCATTTGGGTCCACTGTAGTGGACATTTGATGTAAGTATACATTTTTTTTAATCATTTGAGCTAACCTACTAAGTTCTGGTGTGCTCATGAGAAGACATCCTGGATGAAACCTCATCAGTTTGGGTGTGAGCAAAGGAAATTTGCTTCCTAACTAAGACAAAATGAAGACTGCAGCAAAACATAAATGTCAGAAAAAGAGATACATATTTTTAAGATATTACTTTTTTTAGCAATGCCAATCACTAATGAAGACAGGCTGTAAATGCTTAAGTAGAAATATTTTTATACAATTTTAAATTGTGAGTTGTTGATTTAGCTCCAAGGAGGCAGAAAAATCCATCCATCCATCCATTTGCAACACCTCTTATCTTGAAAAGGGCCGAGGGGGGTGCTGGAGCTTATCCCAGTCGACAACTTGAATGTCTCCGGTTGGTCCAAAATGCTCCTGTTCGCTTCCTAACTGGAGCTTGTAAGAGGGAGCACATCACCCCAATACTGGCTTCTCTTCACAGGCTCCCAGTACATTTTGGAATCCATTTTAACATACTTTTATTTGTCTTCAAATCTTTAAATGTCCTTGCTCCAGCTTACCTCTCTGAACTCCTCCACCCCTACGCACCTGCCCAGTGCCTCAGGTCTTCAGACCAGATGCTACTGGAGGTGCTGAGGACTAAGTGGAGCCTCAGAGGGAATTGACCTATTTTATGTGGCCCTTGAGGGCAAATTATGCATGCCGACTTCATGTTTCTTGCATATTACCTTCACTTTGAACAATGCCGAGAGATGAGATATTGTAAGCATTTTTTGTGACCAATCCCTGTTTTAAAATAAACTGAAAATAGTTGAAGAACTAACTATTTACTGGCTTCTAAGTCCAAAACTAGTTATCCATCAATTTGTTCTGGATATGTGATAATTAATACAAGGCAATCATACATTTATATGGGTTAACAGTCATATCAACTCTCCTGTAACAAAAGTAAGTTTGACACCACTGCTTTAAAAGAACACAATGTGAACTAAGTAGAAAAAAAAGAGAAGTAGGCTTCTTTCAATGTTGTGCTTCTCTTTCCCTATAGATTGCACTGCTGTTGCTTGAAAATGGAGCAGACCCAAATGCCACAGACAAACTTGATTCCACTCCACTGCATAGAGCGTCCGCCAAGGGCAACTATCGCCTGATCCAGCTGCTTCTCAAACAGAGTGCCTCGACCAACATCCAAGACTCGCAGGGCAACACAGCACTGTATGTATGGAGCACTGTATGTATGGACAATGTTTTGAAACCACTGTACCATAATAACATGATTTAAATTATTTGATACTTAGAGCGAACGATGTGGAAGTGTGAAATGACTAAAAGCCATATTTATATTTACTGCATACTATTTTGCTTGCAATTTTGTTGAACCAGCCACCTGGCGTGTGACGAGGAGCGTGTTGAAGCAGCAAAGTTGTTGGTTGAACATGGAGCCAGCATTTACATTGAAAACAAGGAAGAGAAAACCCCTCTACAGATGGCCAAGGGGAGCCTGGGCAATGTACTTCGTCGAATTGTGGAAGGATGATGCATTTCCAACCTAAAGGTGCACGTTCAGCTGTAAACCACACCATTTTGACCTGGCCACTAAACTGGGGATAAGTGGAAACGCATCAGCAGCACAGATGTTGACATATCTGACCAAAAACACTGAAATGCACTGCCCAAAACTGCAGCCCACCTTCTGTGAAGTTTGAATTGTTGCAACTTGCTTAATAAAATCAGTGTTAAGCTTGTTTTTAATGTGTGGGTATTCATTTGGATGTACTGTTGCACATCCATTGCCATCTTGTTTGGTAGAGCAATAGTTAAGGTACAAATACAGTAGTGATTTGCATTTACTTCTAATGACCATTTGAAATTTGTAAGTCTAAGTAGGGTTCTTTTTAAGAATCTGTAATGCTTTACTTTGAGTCTTTATTGTTCTTATGTGTTTTTTTTTTTTTTTTTATCTTTTGCCGTGAACTTTTGAAAACCGGTACCTGGGTTTCTTCTTTGCTAACTAGCCCAGGGCTGGCATTGGCAAATATACATCACCGCCTCACTCGGTTTTGTGTGTTGTTGTGGGTCCACATAACAGAGACAACTGAGAGAACGTGAACTGTTTATTAATCTCAGCAGCAGAGCACCTCTTATTCAGCCTGTGACTCACACCATAGACAACTGAGGACATACCTTTGTTCAGGAATGCATTGTGATGACAGGTAAGAGTTGAGCAGGGAATGTTTTCAACACATTTAGTAGACACACCCACAGTGTCTGAGAGCTAAGTGGAGGGTTTTGTTTTACACGATTTGGGAGTCTCATTTGATATATTTTGTGATTTTGTTGAATTATTTATTTTCATTCATTCAAATTTGCCAGGCTTGTTAACAAAACTGTTCTCTGTGGTTTGTAAATTTGTAAGACATTTTACCATAACTGTACAGGAACATTAAAAATCATAACGAGGTGCTGAATTTAGTTGCTGAGCAGAAACGTTGCTAATTCCGCACCGGGTCTGAATCCTTTCAGTTCCCTGTGGCCCCTCCAGCCCTCTCAGGCAATTTCAATGTTCACTCTTCTTATGTTTCAGAATCAAAGTGGGGCCGGAGAGGTATGATCCCCCCAAATGTATATCCGTTAATTTTATTGTAGTTGAGTAAATACATCTGCTTGTACCAGTTATTCTTGACACCTGTATGTATCTATTCTGCATTTAAAGTTCGTAGTGTGAGACTTATTATTTGTTGTTGCAGCCACTAATTTGGTTTCTACCATCGGGGCCGAAAAGAGTTTTACAAACATGCAACCGATATGTGCGTTTTTTAAATCGTCTCAAGACTGCGTTTGCTTGCTTGAATGAGTATTTCCTTTCATGATTCATAATTCGTTTCTTGAGGGGTCACATGGGATGCGCAGTACATGTTGCGCACCAGTCAACCTTTGATCAACTACTTCCTGAAAGGGTCGCGTCATACGATACACCTCTTTTATGCCACTCCTGGGGAAGATTCACAGTAAAGTTGTAGGTGGATTAAAGCCCGACGAACTGGACAGATAAAGGTAAAACTTGAACTCTGACAAACAAACAATAAACTAAACACATGCAGAATAGCCCGCATAGTGGGACTAGCTACATGTTTACAGCTAGCACGAATGCAAAGAAACTACGCTGTTCCATGACTGCTCCGTAGAGTCCGAACAGTACTGTACGCTTGCCGTTGACATATCTTTTTTTTAAATTTTAACCACCGAGCGAATGCTGTGTTTATATCGTTGGTGAGGACCAGCAGTTCATTCCTCACCACACCATATAGAGAGCGTGACTACTAGCTCACTAAAACCCGCGTGAGTCGTTTCAGAGGTTGTGGTTGGAATTTGTTTGTTGGGGGAATTGACGGCCACCGCAGCAAATGACTGATTTGACGGCATAACACTCGCCTTGTATTTGGAATAAAGCAAATGAATGTCAACGTTCCTATGTTCGTGTTTTCGCACAGTTGCAGTTGGCGATTAAGTTCGACGTTTAGAATGTGGGGTTCAAAAAGGACAGGCTGTCAATTGATTATCGACAGTTAGATGTAAACGTTTTCATCCATCTATCAATCAATCGAACAAACAAGCTTCCAAGACTTTAAACAGTGAGATTAAAGTTTTGCGTTGAGATTATTGTTTGGCACACAGCAACAACGTTTTTAACTCCTTTATAGTCACATGATAAAATACTACATCATGCATTGCAGTTGTGCATCACTCTAAACTCCAGCAGCAATCAACCATAATCCACAATCAATTCTTTTCTAGTATGTTCTACTTGCATATGAAACTGTTAGTAAGTTGAATGTTATTGGTTGTGTTGACAGGGTTTGTGTTGCTGGGTGGCAAAGTGATACACCCTGTTCTGTAGACATTGCCTCTCACGGGCCGTGCCCATCCCACACACGTTTTCATGTCCCAACACCGCATGGAGTACACGCCAGATGATAAACCTGAGGAGGTCTAAAATGTATTATTTTGAAATGTTTAGATAATTTTTTTTCTAATCAGTACAATCTAGTTTTGAACGATTAATCTTTAATTTGATATCAAGTTCAAGTCAATTTTATTGTCAAATGTGTTCTATGTGCAACATACAGCACAGATGAAATTTCTTTTCTTGCAACCACAGGAGAGAGAGGAGCCGCAACAGGTGCCCACGCCGCCATTAACATAAAATAACAAAATAATACATCACAACACAAAAGAGACAGACAGGCGTGCAAGCTTAACAACTTTTTCTGCATACACTTTGTTGTTTGAAGCAGTTATAGATGAAAGAGGAGCGAATCAAAGTGTCCTTTCGCCAGTGGATCAAAGACGTCATGCTGAAAATGTGCACACGTCTGCTACAAGCTAAGTTTGAAAGCAAACAAGAAGCTGTAGCGTCCATTGACGAAAAAGAGATTGGCTCACATCTCCTGTTCCATGTAAATCCGCTTCAATTCCAAGCCGCGACTCCCAGTTCCACATACACATCTGCCCTCTGCGCTGATGCTCCTTTTTTCTCATCGTCGGTTCCACAAGCCATCCATCCATCCATCCAGCCGCAGACTGTCCAACAGCACCGACATTTCCGCTGAACAAAACGGGCTGTGAAAAACGCTGCCCATTACAGGCGCAAAAACACAAGCGCCCAGGGTTGTCCAGCACCGACAGTCAAATGGCGCCAACATTCCTCCCAATCAAAAACATATATTAGTAAATTGTACCATGTTTTGTAAAAACAAATAAAACAATGTAATAATGTCAACTATCAAACGGTTAGTATGACCTGACAGTAGGGCTACCACATACAGTAATTTTGCTCGTCGACTCATCACCAACAGTAGTCGTAATGACTCAACAAACCAGATCATATGTAAACCCTAGCATATCGCACCAACAAGCAGTTGCTCTCTTGTAGTAACCATCATTAGCTTATGGCTTGAATTCTTTCAGGTATGTACATATGAATAATAAAGATGACAGTATATTCAGCTTTGATGAAACTGTCTGTGACTTTGCACCATTTTGCGCTGTCACGTTTAGTGTTTGCACTGTTGGCAATAGGAATCCTCGAGTGCAAGCTAAGCTGTTTGTAAATGGACTTTGAAGTTCGTTGTGTTGCAACTCATCAAATAAATACGACAGCTTGTTGACGTTAGCAGGTGAACAGCGTTCATCTGGCTAGAATCCAAAATGTTGCTGTGTCAGGGTTTGGAACTAATTCCTTTTATGCCGCCGCTCAACTTCTTGCAACTGTACAACTACAGCTGTCTGAAAAAATAGCTTTGAGTGTGCTAATGCTGTCTGCTTCAACTCTGCTCACACTGTGTGTGTTTTGGAGGAGGAGGGGGGTGGTGTTTCACCTCACACAGCCGTGAGGAAGTTGACTGACAGGAGAGGGAGCAAAGCAGTGCGACTGAAGTTGGTTAGAACCTGTTCTTCGCACTCTTATGAATGAGAGCACAATATTCTTGTGGGTCTTGAGAAATCAGCCAAAATGCTCCAAAAGTTCCGCTGTCACGAGGGTTGCCATCATTTTAAATGGTCTGCACAGAATGAGTTAAGTAACCTTTGGAAATGTAAATTACACCTCGCATGCCGTCTCCCTTCCAAGTAACATGTTCTTGATCGACACTTCACACATTTGAAAAATGGCAGTAAAGAGGAAAAGTAATATCATCCTTAACCCGTTTTGTTTGTTTTCTCAATACCATTGTCTAATTACAGGAAAGTTTGCTTACTCGCGGTCCACTAAGAGCTATTGCCACTGGAAGTACGTTGGCCATCTTAGTGACAATGTGTAGATGGCTGTGAGTCGTACAGCAAATGTCTGACTGTTTTCTCATCTTTTTTTCCCCTTCTAGTCTGAGATAGCAATCCCCTTGCCGGCTGCAATCATGTCAGACCTCAAAGAAGATGGCAGACTCGAGAGCGATCATATGGTTGACTTCTCCCTAATGAACAACCGTCTCTACTCGTTCAACGGCTCCAGTCTGGTTGAGCAGGTGCCCGCAGAGCGACTCGCCCGGGCCGGATTCTACTACACCGGTCACGCCGATCGCGTCCGCTGTTTCAGCTGTGAAATGACGGTTGAAAACTGGTGCAGGGGAGACACGCCTGTAGAGAGGCATAAGGAGGTAAGTCTGGATGAGATGGAAATGGGATACACACAAAACACACACACACACACACACACACACACACACACACACACACACACACACACACACACACACACACACACACACACCCACACCTACTCCCAGACTCGAGAGCGATCATATGGTTGACTTCTCCCTAATGAACAACCGTCTCTACTCGTTCAACGGCTCCAGTCTGGTTGAGCAGGTGCCCGCAGAGCGACTCGCCCGGGCCGGATTCTACTACACCGGTCACGCCGATCGCGTCCGCTGTTTCAGCTGTGAAATGACGGTTGAAAACTGGTGCAGGGGAGACACGCCTGTAGAGAGGCATAAGGAGGTAAGTCTGGATGAGATGGAAATGGGATACACACAAAACACACACACACACACACACACACACACACACACACTTCTTATCCGCTTCCAACATATTTGATCTGAATTTTAGGTTTCCCCACTGTGCAAGTTCCTCAGCTGCACCCATCGCGCTGATTTCCAGCACAGTTCACAGTTGACAGGCTCTAGATACAATGAAGAAGCTGAAGATATGGAATATCGTTTGAGAACAGGCGAGGTGGTTGACGAGTCCACCTACCCAATGATCCCTCACATGAGGCAGGAGGAGGCCAGACGTCAGACCTTCTCATCTTGGCCATCTACTGTTCCTGTGACAGCCAGAGATCTGGCACAAGCTGGCCTTTACTACCTGGGCCAGGGTGACCGGGTTCAGTGTTTTTGCTGTGGTGGCATCCTAGGGGGCTGGGAAGCAGGGGACACGGCCTGGGGTGAACATGGCAAACATTTTCCCCACTGCTTCTTCATCCTCGGCCATGATGTGGGCAACATCCCATCCGAGGGGGGTACGGGAGTGGAGAATCGTAGGAGTCCACCTCAAGTAAACGCTCACGTGCCTATGGGGAGCTTCGAAGAGAGGCTACGCAGCTTTACAGGAGTTCAGCACCCTGTTGATCATGCTCGACTTGCAAGGGCTGGCTTCTACAGGACAGGTATGCACCCGACTTAGATCAGTAATTATTATAATTTGTAAATTGCATGTACAGTGGAATCTCCTAAATTGAACATAATCCATTATGTGATGCTAGTTGACTCCCATGTTGTTTCTTGTTCTGATATTACTCCATCTGAATATTTTTTTTAAATGTTTGTGTGCGTGCGTAGGGACAGGAGACATGGTGATGTGTTTTCGTTGTGGTGGAGGACTAAAGGGCTGGCAGCCTGATGAAGACCCATGGGAAGAGCATGCCAAAAGTTATCCTGGGTAACAACAAAAATTTCAACAAGCATTTCACCTAATGTTGGTGTTCAAATTTAACTCTTATGACATTCCAAACTCTCCATTAGATGCAGCTTCTTGTTAGAAGAAAAAGGACAAGAATTTATCAACACCATCCAGCTACAAGATCCTCAACAAAACAAAGCTGTAAGCCTACAATACATTTATTTACCACTCAAATTTTAAATCTCAATTGATAATGCCAAGTTGTAAATGTATCACTTTTTGTTGACAAATATGATAGATAAATGACAGAAAAAAATATTTTCAAATTTGTATGACATTTAAGATTTTTTTTTATAGGGAAACAAGTATTGTTAAATATATCCTGTACGTTTTTTCAAGAAGATGAGAGTTTGTCTTTGAATTGATTTATTTGTCTATTTTATTACATGTGAATCAGTATGAGGTCTTTGTCCCTGAATCGGGGTTATAACAGTTTTGGATTGTTGCATTTTCGTTCATTTTTATTTCATTTTGACTTTTTCATTTATTTATTTATTTATTTTTTTGGTTGGTTTCCAATTCTCAAACGACTGAACTTGCTCCTTCTGTACGGACATAGAGCAATACCGAAATCTATACATTTTCTGTACCTGAAATGGACAGCAACAATTTAATCTAGTTATTAAGTTTGGGAAAATTGTGTACTGGAAGATTGAATATGTCTGTGCAGGATATTGTCAAGAGTATTCCCCCCATTTTCTAACTATGCACGTGTTTGTTTTCAGACCTCACGTCATCAAAATGGATTTACAGCATACAAAAATGGTAAATACATTTATAGACTAGGTTTCATCGATGCATCCATTTTCTGTGCCACTTTTCAGTTCAGGGTCATGGGAAGCCAGATCTTATTCCAGCTGATTTTGGGTGAAATGCAGACTGCTGCCTGGCTGGACCTAACACTAGTTAATCATGGGACCCATATAAAGACAAACAATCAGACACACTCACATTTACAATGTCTCTGAGTGGGAAATGAACCCACACTGACACAACAGAAGTCTGGCAGGTATAGCACTACACCATCAGTGACTTCGAATGGATTTTGTTCTTTCCCTTGCTTGTTTTACATTGACAGAAACTGTCAGAAGTTATAAGGGGTGAAAATGGCAAAGTAAACCCTTGATATTATTTCGCGCTATATATTAACGTTGGTGCCGCTGTGCTGTATAGTAAATGTGCAATAATCTATATATTGGAACATTCGGTCAACTTGTAGAAACATTTGAATAGGACAATGTGCAAGTGAACCAAAGTTTTTTTTTTTCCTATCAAAATCAAAGTAACAAGAAAAAAATAAGTCACAAAATAAAATGCTTTCAAGAGGGTTGTAAAATGGGGGTGGAAAGTTGGCTAAAATTGTTGATCCTTGGTATTTTGTCCAAAGTATGTCATAGATGTGTTATGGCACATGAGATTAGTTTTTATTGAAAAAAAAAGTTGTCTCCTTTAATCCTGTGAGAGAAAACAACATTGTGATGTTATTTTGCCCCTCAACTCGTAAGGTGTATGCACATACCACTAAAAAACAAAGTGTCAGAAGGTGGGCAATCGTGTATGTTGTTGTGTGCACTCATGTTCTGATGATGAGTAAGCGTGTTCTTTTCTTTTGCCTTTCAGATGAGGACCCATTGGAAACACTACGGAAACTGCAGAGGGAAAAACAGTGCAAAGTGTGTATGGACAGAGATACTTGCGTCGTCTTCATCCCGTGCGGTCATCTGGCCACCTGTGAGGAATGTTCACAGACGCTTATTAAGTGTCCAATTTGTTGTGGGGCCATTACACAGAAGGTCAAGACGTACATCGCTTAAGAAAAATAGACTTTTACCAAACAGACCTTCTGTGCTGCTGTCTCATAATGCCTGACTTTGTATTTAATTATTAAGTGTAGATAACCTGTAATATTGCAAAGGACTGTTTGACCACTAGAGTGGCTATTGTAAGGTTAAGCAAGAGTATATCATAAAAGCTTTTTTTAATAGGTGAATAGTTAGTACATAAACACTGAATGATTTCTTCCATTTCCATTCCAGATGTGCCTTGACTTAATTTGCTTTTTATTTGATGTGTTTGGAATAGCTCCAAATTACTTGTAGTGGGAAATACTGTACAGGTATTTGATTTCACGCTTGTTTGACTTTGCTTTTGTTTATAAATACCATGACATTTTGAAGAAGTCACTTAAATGGCTATTTGTGTTTAAATAAATGATCAATAATGTAAGTAATGGATCCACAAAAACTCCCCATATCGCTCATGTGAAAACAGTTTCACCAATAAAATTTACTATTTGGTCATAAATCATGTTGCAATGCATATTTATACGGAAGCACAGCAAATGACTACCAAGTTAAAACAAGCATACATTTCAATGACATAATTTGTAATTATTTGTTTAAATTGGGTTGATAAAGGGAGAGAGTGCAAGAAAATGGTTTCGATCCTCTACCGTACAACATAAATATGGTTGTCTGACGTGCAATACTGAGCAGTGGCCAGTGGGTGTCGGAATGGTCGAGCGCCGCTGTTGTGGCCGCTAGGTGGTAGCTCTGTACAAGGATTTCCTCCTCCCAGGTCGTCGAAACAACAAATTGAACTACGGAGCAAGCGGGCGAGAGAACGTCCGAAACCGCCTCTGACCGCGACTTTTAAACTTTTTTTTTTTTTTTTTACTAAATTAAGTGTGAGATTCGTCCTGAGGCTTGTCGAAGAAGTACAAGTTAGGAATCAGCTGGGACTATTATTTCTCAGCAAGGTAAGTTAGCTGTAAAATGGCGGAAAGCTATATGCAACTTAGTTGATTTGTATTTTGCTAGCCGCTTGCTAGCGAGGCTAGTTGAGCCTAGAGCGCGGATGTCTGCCTCAGCCAAGTCGCCTCGCTAGCTCCGCTGTGAGAGGCTAGCTGCGCCCTGGTTGGTAGCGAGCTAACGCACACGATTCTTACCAAAATGACGTAAAATAGAACTCTCGAAACGCAACGAAGTATTTTGTTGTTTCGATGGACTTGGTTGCACTTCACAATAATTGTAAACAATGTTTGTTGCTTATGCAATTCGGTACTGGAACTCCCGAGGCAAGATGGAGGACGCAAGGACGTGATGTTTTTTTTTTAGGGAACGTTAGCACGTACGGTTAGCATGGTTGACCATTCGTAGTTTCTCGTGCTCGTGAATTTTCCCTTAATTATCAGTGTTTATGGTATTAAAGCTGAGCATGGGATAAGAGTCGTTTATAAAACGGTCATTGAATGCGCTCGCTTCTCACGCCAGTTTCTTCTCGCTCATATTAGCATGTGATGGCACCGTCGAGCTTGCGTTGTTGTGTTATTATGGTCGTCCTAAGATAGCGGCAACAAACGCTGACCCGTTGCCGAAATCCAAATCATACTTTTACGCTTAGGTATAGTGCACTTGTTTGTGCATTTCCACTCTTGAAGTCTCCGAAATTCACGGTTGCTAGCGCCGCTAGCAACACCCGCGCACCGGTGTCAATTTTGACAGGAACCGACGAAGAGCGTGGTCGCGTCGGCTCCGTTGGAGGGAACGGAGGCGTGTGTGCTGCTGCGTTGACTCTGGAATTCCTCAGTTTGGAGCTTTACGGCTCTTTGCTAGCCAAGATCTTCTCCCCGAGCTTCATTGTGGCAAGTTTATGAGATTCACTGAGCGATTTGGCGCCACTTTTTCAGTCAACACCCATTGAATCCCGTCATCTTGTCATCACCTAATATTTACGTATTAACTCGCGAAACGGCCACATGTCTTCAAATGGCAAAGAAGAATGGTTTTAACGAACAATGCCATGTTACATTACAAACGAAGCACCTGTGTTGAGGTGTGATTGATATCGTCGTAGTTTCCGGTAGATAGATATGTTACCTGCATTATCGTGGCAAATACTACCTATTGTAAGCAGCGACAGGCCTCCTCTTGTATTATCCCTCGTTTATTAATCGGCCCTAGTACTGTAATGACGGATAATTCATTGTCTGTTGTAGGATGTACGATGTGATTTATTAGCATCGGGTAAAGTGTGTATTTATATCGTTTATTTTGCAATTGGCAAGTCGGTGATTGCCTTTGAAAAGTTACTCTCCCGAAACGCATGCATGTATGTGCCACTTTTCCATACAGTACAGTAAAGCAGTAGTTGTGGCCTGCAGTATCTTGTTGATGTTGGTAACGTGTTCTGATTGGTTGAAGTACTCGCGGGGGGGGCAGAGCACGTCCATATATGGCCAGTGAGGAAGATACTCCAATAATTGAAAAGCAAGGAGGACGAGGAAAAGGGAACCAATGCTTTGAGTGCTGAGCGCCACAATAGCATCTGTACCGCCCACCGTTACCATGTGAAGCAAGAAAAATCTGTTTTCATCAGTTTGTTTGTCTAAGTGGTACTTCTCTTATTTTATACCTTTAGATTTCATGCAAGCTTCCGTCTTGTATTTTCTGAGTGTTACAAGCCAGTAATAAAGTGGAAGTTATCCAGAAGATGTTAGAGAAATGATAGCAGCACCAGAAATACCAGGAGACTTCCCCTACGCTCAGTAAGTCCGCCTTGTAATTTTTGGCTCTGTTAGTTTGCTTTATATCGGCCCAAATGTTCATTTTATCATTTATTTTTCCATCTCTAGGGATACAGACACACAATTTTCTTCAGACACAGACTTTTCAGAAGATCCAGATGGGAGGACTTCAAATTCAGCGAAAGGAAAGGTATGTTAAGCAGTATTGGTTTCCTTCTCTTGTAACTAACAATTTTTAAGAGAAAAGAAAAAAAAGCGACAAATGTTATCCTCTAAATATTACATTCAGTTAGCGGTAACAGAAACACACGTATATGACAAGGATTAACGTAGTAAAAACTTTGTTGATTAAATGTATTGCGCCACGCAATGCACTCTGGGAACCGAGTCGCTACATCATGTGACACGTCTGTGCAGTGTCGCTGTGTTCTGTTGATCGGCGGCACAAAAACGTTAGGGGGAAAAAGCAAGGGCGAATGCTCTGTATTGATAGCACAAGTTTTGGCATTGCCAAGATAAGTCGGCCTCATGAAAAGCGTTTCTGTGGCTTTTGTTCAATGCACATGGATTGGCTTTGCCTTCCTTTGGAACGAGCATCAACACCCGCAGAGGGTCAACGCCACTAAGTGTTTCAGAATGAGCGACGGTTGGTGTCTGGACTTGTTGACTTACAAGTTTGATTACTGCAATATTTATTTATTTACGCATTTACGGTGTAGCAGAGCACCAAGATATGACATCATTTCAGATTTCTTCAAGGTTATGTGGGTGCCATCCAGTACTCAGGTAGAGAAACTGCAGTTGAAAACCTGAATGTTACTTGAAGCACTCATATTCCTTCTACAAAGTTGTATTTTACTTATCCATCCATCCATCCATCCATCCATTTTCTGAGCCTCTTATCCTCACAAGGGTTCGCGGGCATGCTAGAGCCTTTCCCAGCTGTCTTCAGGCTGGAGGTGGGATACACCCTGAACTGTTTGCCAGCCAATCTCAGGGCACACATAGGCGAACAACCGTTCAAACCCACAGTCACACCGATGGACAATTTAGAGTGCCCACTCAACCTACCATGCATGTTTTTGGAATGTGGGAGAAAACCGGAGTACCCGGAGAAAAGCCACACAGGGACGGGGAGGCCGGAGCCAAATACTAAATCAAGGCCTCTGCACTGTGAGGCAGACGTCCTAACCAGTCAGCCGCCGTGCCGCCCTATTATACTTATACTTAAATATATAGTACAACATTGGCTACAGGAAGGCATTTTGTTTCACCCCTTTAAACCCAAATGAAATGTCATTCCATTTGGTAATTTGGTTTAATTGTAATTGGAATACAAAACTATGTAAACATGAGTAATAATTATAGGACATTTGCAAACAGCTGCATTTAGATGGGGAAAATACGCCCCTTATTTTCTGACATGTTACTGACATAGTAACTGAATCATATTTTGTTTTTACATTTTAGTCAATCGGACCTGCTGTGCAAATCCACATACTGGGTGAACAGTGCGATTATGAGAAGCGTTTTGTTGTATCTGTTCATTGTGACCCTGGCTTTGACCAACACATAACTGCAACATTGCAGCATTAATTCTGCGTACTCTAAACATGTTGATGGCAAAAATTAGCAACCCGTTTACCCCAAGTTAGCTGGGGTAGGCTCAAAGTGCTATAGAAGATGGATGAATGGATGGATGTCAAAAATAGACAAAGGTGCAAAAAACGGCACAACTAGAATACCCTTTCTTTTGTAAATATTGCACTATCTCGGATTTTGACAGAACAGACTGAATTGTTGAACAGACAGTTGTAGGAATGCGTTTTTCATGTTTCCCTCATGTTATTGGCTTTCTTTCAGGGTGGAAAGAAAGGCAAGAAACCAGCAGGAGACAAAAGCAAGGGGGGAAAGGGGGCAGGTCGGATAAATGGCCACCACCAGGAGAATGGCATGGAAAACATGATGCTGTTTGAGGTGGTGAAGTTGGGGCGGAGTGCAATGCAGGTGGGATATGTTATATCACAAACACCTATGTTGTCATATTAAAAAATCCCAACACTTTTCTCATGTTTCTTTAAACATGTGTATTGCCCTTTACAGTCGGTTGTTGATGAGTGGATTGAGTCTTACAAACATGACAGAGATGTTGCGCTGCTTGATCTCATCAACTTCTTCATCCAGTGCTCAGGGTGTAAAGGTATGTTACTAAATGTTATTTTCTTGCGATTCGCCCAGCCCTACTAAGACGGTTACTTAATTTTTAAATTGACCAGTTAATTTGACTTTTTAAATAGTTTTACTGACCCCATGTTGCTGTTGATAATGCAATTCTTTTTTTCCCTGAATCGATCAGGTGTTGTTAGTGGAGAGATGTTCCGCAACATGCAGAACTCAGAAATTATCAGACGAATGACAGAGGAATTTGATGAGGTAATTCAATTTGACCCTTTCCTGTGTAATGTAGATTGTGTTGATGTTTGAGATTTTCTTAGAATCATTGCTTTTTGCACATACTACTTCATGGCACGTGATTAAGGACACATGGAGTAGCACCTCTTGCTAATAAGCCTTCTCTTTTCCTCTGTAGGACAGTGGAGATTACCCTCTTACTATAGCGGGGCCCCTGTGGAAGAAGTTCAAGTCAAGTTTTTGTGAATTCATTTCGGTCCTTGTGCGGCAGTGTCAATACAGTATCATCTATGATGAATATATGATGGACACAGTTATCTCCCTTCTCACCGGACTATCAGACTCTCAAGTCAGAGCCTTCAGACAC